AACTTATTATACTAACTTATTATGTTTGATTCAGAGTTCTGGTTCAATACTCAATGTTCAATGTTCAATGTTCAATAATTAACTGCTCACCCAAACTTTAACCAACAATTTCTTCTGTATCTGTTAACCCACTATCCTGTCTTTGGATAGTTGACGAGGTTCCTTAATATCATGCTCCTGCTCCTCACAGCTCTTGTACGATCTTTCGTTGAACAGAACAACTGACTCCAAACCAACTGAACTTGCTTACGAAATATTGTTCCATATTTAATGAAACTCTAAGAGTAGAAAGACTTAATAGAAAATCCTAAAATATAATGGATTATGTCATTTCTTTCTTCTTATACTAATCCTTACTAATCCTTTTAAAGCGCTGCCATTAGATTATTATGTTTTAACTCTCGAGGGGCTTCAATTATTTCGTCACACATGATCAGTTGGACCAGACTCTGCAGTTGGACATTCCACTCCAAGCGCTAAACATTCAACTTTTTTTGAAGCTGAAAGTGTCGATAGTCTATCGAAGGTAAGCCTGTTTATCTGCTGAGTGCAATTCAGGATTTGTCTTTTTTGGCGTGCACTCACGATTCAAGCTTTGCTTTCTTCCCTAAATGTCGTACAATTGCCGACAAACTTTTAGTATAAATGAGAAGTCTATAATTGCATCACTTGGCATGAGTTAGGGTCATGTTTAGATTTACTGCGTATTATGTTTTGGGGAATGAGAAGTCTATAATTGCACACTTGGCAAATATGGTAGCATGGGTGGCGTTCGCGGCTAGTAGCTGTTCCGAGCCCTGCAGTCGCCACATGTGAATTGAGTTTGTTTGCTGTGTTGTTTTCTCCTATGCTACGAGGGTTTTCTCCGGGTTCTCCGGTTACCTCCCTCCGTAAAAATCAACATGTGAGTTGAGCGTTGTGTGCATAGAATATTAAATGTAGTGGTAGTGCGTGTGAGTGAAAAGTGTCCCCAATTAGTGCGAAAGCGCTAGAACGACTAGACACTTAAATAAAAGTGATTTATTTGTTTATTTTATGATATTTCACTTGTTCGACTTGAGGAGTCGTTCACGCCAAAAATTTGCTTTGGTTTATAGTTTATTTCGAAATCTGTCTGACCAATCGTACTGGTGTTCATGGTCTTGGGCGATCATCGATTGGCTCAAGGGATGATCCACAGTAAGGTTTTTAGAGATACCAAAAACCGGAATTTTGGTTGCATGATATTTATTGTTTTTGGCTCAACCCTTGCACATTATTTTTTTGCGTATAGTTCGATATTTATTATCTTCTAGCAGAAGAGGTTGCACGATTTTCTTTTGAGGTTTAAGTGCTTGCTCGATATTTTTTTTGGGAGTTACGCAATCCCCATCAACTATCTAATAGTCCGTCCCTAAGGAAACATAGGAGGCTGCATGGTCGAGTGGTCACAGCGTCTGTCTCGCAACCCGGTGATGCTGAAGTCGAGTCCCGCTGTCTCTTTGCCAGTTGGGATTTTTAAAAAAAGCATTGAGCATTAGTTTGGGACATGTACATGGCGCTTTCGTGTTCATGTCTTGTCAATTTTAAACGCGCTTGCTAAACAGCAGCGAACGCTTTCCATTGAGCCGTTTTAAAGTTACAGGTCATTCTAGAACGTCTTTTCACTACAGATGACGTGGAYGCCACCCAGGTCATTAATGGCAATTTCAAAATTGGATGCAATGACATTTTACTCCTATATCACGCTAGCTTGACATTATAAGATATTCGATTCATGAAAAGAGTTTACTATCAATGAATTCATTGATAATAGAGTCATACCATCTCATCCGTTAAAAAGTTAATTAAAAACAAAATTATACATCGTACAAATTAGTTTCAAAGTTTTGTAGGCCTACGGTCTACTGAACTTGCTAATTTGTGCAATTTCTTACAAAGTTATTATATATGAGAATATAAATATATAGACTATATATTTGTACTGCGGCAATAATGTATGTATGTAATTGAACTGATCTGCGCAAACAATTAATCCGCGAAACACTAATTACTAAATAGTACAAAATAGTGCTAATTAAACAATAGAAAACAATGGAATTTGCATAAAATTGTGCTATTTAGTATTACTAAAGTTTCACGGTTATATTGTTTGCACTCTATGGCCCCGTCCACACTATGCCGGATAAATTTGAATCCACAACTTTCACACCGAAACCAAAAAAAAATTTCCATCCACACATGAAAACGGATAAAATGTTTCGCGTCCACACTAGTCCGATCAGAGGCGGCAAAAACGCTTCATTGCATGCCTGAGCATGTGCATCAAAGCTGAAATTGAGCCCGCGGAGAATTTTTACCCTTCCCGCCATGTTCCCATGACAATCATGACGTCATCGTATTCGAAAATTTTCGGGTACGAAAATGTTCTCCGTCCAAACTAATACGGCTAGCCGACGTTTTCAAATTGTTCCATGTGCTAGGAAACACCCCTTGATTGGCGTCCACCATGATGTTTCGATTTTTTTTTTTCACGATTTCACGCGTGTGATTGTGAAGCACTGTAGAAGCCCTTAGGTGCCGGTTCAAGACCTCCATGCAAAAAATAACATCGATAATGTTCTTGTTGCGAGGTATTTACTCAATCAATTTTTTATTCACACACAATTTTTACAATGTTTTGTTTAAATTACTAGCTTAGAAAGTTTATTTGACAAGGAAAAAAACGTAATAACAACAGTACTATTTGTCGACATAATAATTCGATAATGCTCTTTTGGATTTCGTTGCACGGGTATAATGACTGCGCTCAACATGGTATGCTTCTAGGTAAAACTACAACATTTCGTAAGAGATCGTTCATTTTTTATGGAGATTGGGGATTAGGTGGGATTTCGTGAAATAAGAAATGTATAACCCCTTCCCAACCTGAATTTTTTTTTTACGTGATCCCCTATTAAAACAAGATATTTTTAAAATACATTTTCTTTTTAGCTAATTTTTTGGTGGGTAGTCCCGCCTTAACGCCCCCCCCCCCCCCCCTTGTAAATCCCACCATCCCCCTCCTCCCCTCCCATGCCCGTCAAAAATGAACTGTCCCAAAAAAAAAATGCGCTAAAACGACGAAGATATGAATTTTCAAAACTAAGCATTTTTTCCTTTTTCCGATGAACTAAATATCTTACGTCACGCTAGCGTCACGATATATTCTCGGCTTTCACATCCCTATAATCCTTTGCGTCTTTGGGGGGTAACCAGAGGGTAAAAACCCACTTATTTTGCTGAAGGCTGATCAGACAATGTTAAACATACCTTGCTTGGTATCCAAAGATAAAAYGAAGAAGTAAAAAACAGAAAAAGATAGAAGCTTGAAGACGTTTAAGGTAAATTTTAAAAAATTTTTCGCAAGTCAATACATTTTCTGTAAGACCAAAACTCTTCATGATCTGTACACGCAAAAATAACTTGGAATAAACTGATAATTAGTATTGAACAGATAAAAGCAGGTATAGTATAAATTCAATTAAGAAACCTTTCAATTTGGGACAGTTTTTTGATTGGTTACCCCCCAAAGACGTAAGGCATTATGGGAATGTGAAAGTCGAGAATAGGAGTCAAATTTCACTAGCTGCATCGAATGTCAAATTATATCAGAAAATCTATGCTCAGGGCTAAAAATAACGAACGGACAATGCCGGGGCAGAAATTTAGCTGGTCCGGTCAAATCTTTGCCTTGCCGGTTATTTTTACCGGTCACTCATTAATATCGATTGGTTTGCCTGTGTGTTTTTTAATGAGTTTATGACGTAATGAATCCAATATGGCGGCGAGCCAAATTGCGAATACGATCATCCCTATAGACACAAACCAGTAACAGTTATTATAATATACTCAACAAAATTACTCGATTTTGATTGAACGAGAGGAGTACAATTAAATCCCAAATTGTACTCTGTACACAGTTTTTCCTCACAGGTAATGGAAAATAAAGCACACAAGGTCGTAGCTTTGCAGCAGAATAATTGGGGAATTGGGCTCCCTGTGGTAATGGCACTTAGGGCTGCCGTAAAGCTTGCATTAATTAGGGGACCATGGGTTGTAAGAATTGCTATATCTTGATATATTTGATTTGGAATTATCTTTATTGTACTTGCTCTTGAATATGAAAATTCTATTTCATTCAAAGGTAGAGCGCGACACAGTCATTTTACCTCTAGATTAGACGAAATGTGGCCATTTTTATTTCTTGACATTCATGTACTGTTTCTATCTTCAGGTAAATAACAGTTCTCTTACTCACTTAAAAATGGCAGCAATGTTACGAGCTCCCTTCCGCGTTGCGGCTGTTTCTCACTGCAAGGACCTGTTATCAATAACCTGGCAAGACGGTAAGCAGAGTAACTTCCCAAATATCTGGCTTCGAAGTGCCGTGCGCGATCCCGAGGTTTTCGATGCCGGTTCTTTGCTGTATAAAAGAGATGACTACGTTGAGTTTATCCGTAAAGAATCCCCGTTGGTTCGTGCAGAACATGAGAAGGGAAGCGAGGATATTCTTGTTGAATGGGGAGACCATCTTGGTACTTTCAACGCTTCTTGGCTTCGTGCTCTAGACCACAATATCAATAAAGATCTGTGCAAAAAGCCTGACATCACTCTTTGGGATGCCAACTCCAAGTTTCCTATTTACAAGTATTCGGAGAGGAAGGAAACGTTCCGCACTTGGTTCAACGACTTGAGGAAGTACGGCTTTGCAACTTTCGAGGGAGTGCCTCCGAACGAGGAAGGCCTCATGGGCATATTAAACTCTATTGGTCAAGAAGCACAACGCACCCATCCTACAAATGTGCTCCATATCTTAAAAGATAGCAAGAAAGAAACGAGCTACGACTCTGCAACTTATACCTCGAATGCGCACCCAATGCATGTGGACACCCCCTACTATCCAACGATGTTCAGATTGACTTGTTTGCTAGGAATGCGCTACAATGCCCCGGTTCAAGACACGTATAACTTTCTTGTCGACAACCTGAAGGTGATTGAGGAAATACGCCGAGAAGAACCCGAGGCATACGAGCTGCTTCGTACGATCCCAGTGCGTCTGGCCAGGAGACGATTGACTGTTCCTGAGAAGTGTAAAAACCCTGAAGATCACTACTTATACCACTTAGACCTCTCGGAAAATAAGACAATGATCGCCTATGACCAGAAAGAGAAGCACGATCATATTAATTTGACGAACAAACACGCTGGTGTGGATTTAAGCGTGTTTAGAGATCACGCAACGATGAAGAAGCACTACGATGCGTACAGGCTACTGCAAAAAAAGCTAGACGAGAAAGCGAACCAGAAAAGAATGATCCTGAAAGAAGGAACGGCTGTCCTCATGAACAACGGCCGCGTGAGTCATGGGCGAGAACCCATCCACGAATCGTCATCACGTGATATCTTACTCTCCTTTATCTCTGAGGGAATGTGGAACAGCAGATGGCGAATCCTGAATGGGCAGAAATCAGGCCTTGAAGAAAAATGGCTGTATGGATGTTCTCATGAGACGCTGGAAATACTCGCAGACAGAATGGAAGTATGAAAGACATCGAATAGTCCCTTTAACAGTTCCTTGCGCCATCTTGAAAGGTAGCCGTGTCTTTGCATCTTGACACTTGAATAATTGTCCGAGGTGTAAAAAAAAAAAAATCTATTATTGCCAGGTCACTGTTCGTGTCGCTTCGATGCAAGGCATGGCTTCCTTGAAAGACGGCGCAGGGAACAGTGAAGGGGACTATTTCTAGTTTGCACATGACGTCATAGCCGCCATCTTGGTTAAATTCATCAAAAGAAATGAAAATGAATTCTTTTGTTATTTTGATTTTTCACTCCCTTGAGGATGTAGTTGAGCCAATCAGAAACCTTGTCTGTACGAGAATAGAAATTAGATCCTAATGTTACGTGTAAACAATTAATTAGCCATCGTAGTTTTTTAGTCTCGTGGGAATAAAAAGATACAGTAAAAACTCCTGCTGGCAGAAATTGGTCATTTCTTAAAATATGCATGTTAAGGCCTGGGTTATGCACCAATTCTCTATCAGACCATTAAAAAATAATTTCTCTGGTGTTTCTGCTTAAAGTATAACCAGCTTTCTCAAACTTTCTTAGATCGTGGATCTTTACAAGTTGGTTCCAATAAACGGGAAAGATTTTGGTCACGTGACCATGAAATTTACATAAGATTAACATAAAATTTCATATTAATAGTAGGTGCTCAATTTAAGTCTTTGCTGAACTTTTTCAACCTTAATTTGTTTCCTTTCCTAAAGTCGTTCAATTGACGTTGAGAATGTATGCCTAGACAAAACAGGTCATGTGGCCTATCAAAAATATCCTTTATGCCCATTTTTCTACTTTCGTAAACAATTTGGTCGACCACTCCAAACGTGAATATCTGTATCTTTGTCACTACTTTCAATTAATCTAAAACCATCATCTAGTTTTAATTTAGCATTTTCCCCCTTTTAAGGTCACGTGACCACCTTTTATGCAAATTTATCCATCCAAAAAGTTAAGCACCCCAAATAAGGATAACTGTTGCAATCGCATTCAATTACATCTAAAAATGAGTAATCTACGGTGAAGTAATTTTTGCCCTTTTGAACAAAATCCCAGGCATTAACATGCTTGAGATACCCACAAATACAAGAACCTGTTTGACCAAGCGAGACATTTTAACCGCGGAGAGTGACTTAATACCAAAATACCAAACTGTATAGATTTTTGCTATTAACTCGTCAAGAAGATAAAAAATATGGTATTTTTTGCTCTACGATGTGAAGACCTACGAAGCGTTTAGTCTTGTTTTGCCGACTTCATGACCTCAAAACAACGACTTTTTGTCGAAAAATATCAAGTATTTTCCAACTTCATTCTTGAAAAATGCATTTTTCTTTCTTAAAATATACTTTAAAAAATTATTTTCTGGCTTCAAAAATTCCCTGAACTAAATTAAAGAAAGATATCCCAAATGTTTGATTGAAAGATTCAGTAAATCTCCTCTGAATGTCTGGAAATTCTGCGAACAGTTTGACATGTGAGAGAAGCGCCCATCTTGAAACCACACTTCTAACTTGCATATCTGAATATACACCTCAAGCACGATGACGTTTTATACCTACACTTCCAGAATCCCTTTCGGTAGCTTTTCGTGATGCTAATTTTCACTATTGTCTTGGTATCTCAAAGGAGTTTGACATTTGAATATAAAAAGACATTTTGAAAAGGATTGTGGTTCATACTTGGGTATGAAACTTCATTAGGGTTAGGATCTATTCCGGAGCATGTTCATAGTGTTACACGTCTCAACCGGCCTTTTATAAGACGGTCCTGAAGCAGTGAAATGGGAGCTGATATTTGCCTTTTTGGGGCTGGGAAATTGGGATTTATGTACAATAAATCCCCAACAATGATAATGATGATGATGATACTACTAATGATGATGATGATGATGAGGGAGGTCCACAAGTTTATTAGTCTGCGACTGTAATGTGATTAACCTCGTTAAATAAAGCTATTATTATTATTATGAAGATGATGATGATGAAGCTACATGATAATGATACATGATGATGATGATGATAATGATAGTGATGATGATGAAGCTTCATGATAATGCTACATGATGATGATGATGATGATGATGACCATGATGGTGATACATGATGATGATAGTGATGATGATGAAGCTTCATGATAATGCTACATGATGATGATGATGATGGTGGTGGTGATAATGATGCTACATGATGATGATGATGATGATGATGATGATGATATGATATGATGAAGATATATGGTGGTAGTGGAGATGATGATAATTATATGAAAAAGTAGCGTAACGGTAACATGTCATTATATGTAGACAGTTATCATACTGTATCACAATTCTCAGCAATAGAATTTATGGATTTGACCATTTTATTTCTTTTGATCGATTTTAAAACTTATACCTTGCTTTGAAGTAGTTAAATAAATTTTGCAATACGATGATACCGAGCAAATATTTTGTTGCCAAAAACATATTCTCTGTTTTATATGGCTTTCTTTTTCAGTCTTATTAGCTTCTCCGACTTTTCTTGAAAGGAATAATGGGACCTTCTCTCTTGAAAGGAAGGAATGGGTCAGGTGTAGGGTCTGGTGTCGAGTCTCTCTTGAAGGGAAGGAATGGGTCAGGTGTAGGGTCTGGTGTCGA